GTCCTGTGACAGAATTGTCTTCGCGTGAAGTACCAGGAATATCAGCAGGATCTGGATCTTCTTCATCGTTGTTTTCCTGAAAATTTGATTTTTTCTTTACCTTAGGTTTTCTAGCTAGGCTTTTATGATATGTTCCTTTATTTGTTATTAATTTAATTTGATCTTCTTTTTCGATCGTTGCCTTTTTAAATTTAGGTTGATCTTTTCCTCTAGCTTTCGTTTTTATATAAACTACATCTGATTTAAGGAATTCAGGTGGATCTTGTCTTTTCTCATTTCGTTTTGTTATAATTAATTCCTTAGTTCTTGCGTTTATACTTTGAATATTTCTATAAAGATCTTCAGCTTGTTCTTTATGTTTTTGTATATAATTTGATACTATTATTTCGTCATTTAAATCGAATGGGTCAGTGTTATTTATATGCCCTTTAATTATTTCAAAAGGTGTATGTTTTGTTACGCTATGAATTGAATTATTATATCCTAATATAGATCGTTTTATTAATTGACTGGGACTAAGATTTGGATGATCACTTTTTAGACATCTATAATGTTCGATTAGAGATGAGTGAAATCTCTCTACAGGTGAGTTTGATGTACTATTTTTCGGTGTTGTATAGTGTATCTCAATTTTATAGAGTTTACAAAAATCTTCTACTTCCTTGTTTTTGAACTCGGTTCCACAATCGGTTGTTATTTTCAAAGGTAAACCGTGATGGGTTATAAAAGTGTATAGATTTTCGATTATCGTAGGACCTGTTAAAGCGTTTAAATGATATGCTTGTCCATATCTAGAAAAAGCATCTATAATTGTTAAAAAGCTCTCATTTGATATTTTAAATGTATCAATATGGATTTGTTCGAAAGGTTTCGATGTTGTAGGTGTTAAATTAAATTTTACGATGGGTGGACTTCGATCGTACTTATTTTTCTGACAAGTCTCACAATTGTTTACGTAGTTTTCAATATCTTCGCTCATTTTTGGCCAGTAAAATTTTGATGTTAAAGCGTTTTTCATTTCATTGATACCGCGATGACAAGTTTTTGTCGTGTGGTACATTTCAAGTTTTTCTTTTTGTTCGTTTAATGTTTCGATATCGTTTAGAAATTTACTACACTGAATAAAATTAAATGCAGTATTTTTAAATAATTTTTGTAAAGTAATAATAAAATTTCTAGCTATTAATTGATCTTTAAAATACATAGCATAGGTTTGTTTGGGGTCAATAAATTCTTTGAGAAATTTTACAAAGTTTTCTGTTGATCGGCGTTGTGATATAGTTACATATATTCGAGTATTTTTGAATATTTGTTCGTGTCTACATTTTATATTATCGATCTCTCCGTAGGTGAATATACTTGATTTTTATAAGTGTTTAATGAACGTTCTGAAATAGGGAGACCTATTATTGGTTCTTCTAGAGAGGTATGACGTGTTTCTAGATCAGTTGATTCTTTTTTCTTTATAGGATTTGGTGGTCTTATTTGTATATCTGAGTGGATAATTATTTTTGGTTTAGGTTTTATTCCTAATATTTCTTCTAATTCTTTTTCTTCTATATCAGGTAAACTTTCTCTATTTTTTATTAATTCTTCGATTACTTCGTCAATATCTCCTGGGTTATTATCGATTGATTCTGTCTCTAAGGCGTTTAACTCTTGATTATTTATTGGTATTCTTGATAACGCATCGGCTGCTTGATTTTGTTTGCCTTTTTTGTATTTGATATTGTAATCGAACTCTTCTTTTGGTCGAGTTATAATTTCTCCTTGAAAAATATTAACTGGAACTTTTTTTATTAGTTTTTCGTGAGGGTTTATAGAAAAAGAAAAATTTATTTCTTCCGGTTGGCGATATTTGAACGGTATTTCGACAAAATTGTTTATTAATCTTTTATTAGTTAAATCGATATTTAAGTTCATATTTATTAAGTCTTTTAAACCTATAACTCCATCGAAATAATCGTGGAAATCAAATAAAATAAATTTAATTTTATGATTGCTTCCAAATTCCGGGAATGAGAGGTCAGCTTGATATTTTGTTGATTTTTGACCAATAGCTGTTTTGATTATATTGGTTGTTTGATAGATACAGTTCGGGAAAAAGTTTTCTACAATAGATGGTTTTAAAATAGAGCGCGAGCTTCCGGTATCGATTAATAATTTTAACTTAGGATGTTTTATTTCTACATACGGAAGAGCGTTACTTGAACAGATGTTTATTTCTATCATGTTTTTCCTTCTTTCTGGCTGGGTTTCCGAAAATTTCCTCTTGTGCAGGATTTTTGTTCCTCAACAACTTTCTCGTATTCGGGTTCCTGTTGAAATTCTTCTTCCAAACTATGAACAGGGTATTCTTCAGAATATTGGTTTTCGTATTCGTCATAATTGTTATAATCGGTATAATTATAGTTTTGTTCATAGGGATGCGTATTTGTTGTGTCTTGGTACGCATAATTATTCATATCTTCGTTGTAATCATTAGTAAATAATTCTTGGAAGGTGAAATCTGGTGGTCCAGTTGCTTGGAAAGGTATTGGATACTGTCTATTCTGATATGATTGGATTTGACTATCCCTTTTCTTCGAAGCAAAAGATGGGTTTGCTGAAGTTGTAGACATAGGCTCTGGTTTTGATTGTTGGTGTGGTGGAATGGGCTTTGGCTTAAAGACATTTATAGGTGGTCCAAAGACTTCTCTATTTGTTGGATATCGTCTTGGAGGCATTTCTCTTGGAGTAATATTAATTGGTTGACAAGGCCAAGGTTGTTTTTGGTTAAAATTTGTATTAGGTACATTTTGATTGAATTGATTGTATTGATTTGGGTGATTAAATTGATTTTGATTATTAAATTGTTGTCTATTATTATTTTGATAGTTAGAATTGTTGTGTGGAAAATTTGTTGTGTTAGAAAAATTATTTTGATTTTGGAAATTTTGTTGTGCTGGCTTTTGATGGAAATTTTGTGTTTTGTACACCTTGTTTTGTTCGTTAGAACTGCCATAGAGCATTTCAAAATTTTCAAATTCATTTACGCACGCCATTGCATCTTCTAAGGATGTCGGTTTTTTAATGTAAAGATTGTTTCTTAAAGTTCCGCTGCAACCTGCAATAAATGTATTTAACGCGGTCTTATCATAGTGGCTTATCTGACACGTTTTCCTAGAGGCGCTAGGCACGTATCGTTACTGATTCTTTGAATTACGTTACTTTTTAAGAGTTGTAATCTGCTGCCAAAACTTAAGAGATGTTCGTTTTTAAACGGTCGCGTTCTCGTCAATTCTTGGATTAGGCAATCTAAATCACGTCTATCTGAGAAACATTGTATTAAAGCGGCTTTTAATTTCGACCAATTATCTAATTCTAATCTGTTTCCCACCATTATCTCGGCTTTTCCTACTAATTTAGACTGTACACACTCAAAAACATGCTGTTTAAAATCCTCGTCTGGTACGGTCGCATATTTTAGTAAAAGTGATTCGCATTTAAATATAAAAGTATTTAATGTATTACTGTTTCCGTCAAAGGGCTTAATATTTTGTACTTTTGACTTAAAAATATTCCAATTTACAGTTCGCATATTTTCATTTTCTGAAGCACTTGTTCTCGCATTCATTTTATTTATTTCTGTATTAAGTTTTACTGTTAAATTTGATAGTCTGTCCGCTAACTCGTCTACACTCATTAACGTGCTAGTTTTTCATTTACGATCTATGAGCGTAAATTTTATTTTATTTTTATATTTATTTTTTATTATTTTTACTTAATAAAAATGTAATACTAGGTAACTTTTTCTTTGTTACTTTACTTCTAAGAATTTTTTACTTTTTGGTTTTTGTTTTTCTTAATCTAATGTCTTCGATAGACTGCTCCTATAACTATCCCTACTGATTTCCTTAAACAGAGGTATACCAAAAGGGGCAAAAAGGAAGGCACTTACTTCTTTTTGAAGTCTTTCCTGTCCTTTTCCTGGACTCCGCTCTCTGCTGTCTTCGTCGGGGTGGTTTGCGACAACTTTCTTTGCTCGTTCAGGTTTAGACAGCTAATCCGGATCGATTGCACTATCCTGTCCTTCACTTCACAAAGTTTTTGTTCGAATTTCGCGTTTAAGGGTTGAAACCGCACTTCCCGATTTACCACTGCATGTGACACTCGAAAGGGAATACACGAAATCCTACCGACTGCGCCAGTTTTGAAGTCTGAATTAACAGAGTTGTTTTTAAAAAACGATTTTATTGTTACAAACGTTCTCGACAAAGTACAGAGAGTGAAAAGTCTGCTTCGAACCGTGCAGTTCGCTTTTATATGTGACATAATGTAAAATAGGCATTCAGTATTTAATTACAATGAAATAACACTTATTTATACATATAACTACTACAAATTATCAAATTAATGGAAATATAATAAAATAACGAATAACTGATATAACAACTTAATGGATCTGTAATTACATACATACATATTTTCCTGATAATAAAAAATATAATTTATCTAAAACGTGTTTTTTATTTTACACAAAATTAGGTATTATTATTAATTCATATTAAATCTATTATAATATCATTATCAATATCAATAGCTTCTCTAAACAGTAATCAAAAATAAATAATAAATAACAGTTGCTGTTACCACCACCTACTCGTAAATTTTAAAATTCGTTTTTTATTCGACTGGTGGCATCGAAACTTCCTTCATTGAATTTAAAACGTCTCTTATTCCATTACCCGATTAACTCGATGTTCTGTTCACCCGACACCCGACGGATCGACGACGAGACGTAGTTCGTACTGTTCAGCTTTCAGGTTATTTTTCATTCAAATACATTGAAATGAAAACCGAATTACACAGGTTATTTTAATAACCGAATAACAGGTTATATTTCATTCGAATAAGCCCATCACTACCTTCGCTGGCCGAATTAGGGAAAGTAAGTGTTTTATGCGTTGGCCGCAGAACGATTAGTGTCTCCACCGTACAGCACTTGAGACGTAAGGCCCCCACAGACTACGAGCTTTTTCATCCATTCGCATCGCTGCGAGTCTAATCGACGTGCCAAACCGATAGTCTGTGGCATAAAACCGTCGGATGGAATCGTCGGTTTAAATATCAGCCGAAGCTTGATTTTCGACACGCCGAGACGAACGGTTTGCGCCAAACCGATAATGTGTGGGGGGTCCCAATGTAACCTGACGGTTCCTTTTCAGTAGCGTGTATGCTTTTAATCGCCTTTGTTGTTGTTGTTCCTGTTCAGTTGAGTCTTCGTTAGAAAATATGGACCAAAAATCGATTAATAAACAATTTTTAATAGAATTGAATCGAAAGTGTCCTTGTTTATGGAAGATTAAATCTGAATTTGATTGATTGGAAATTCTTTTTTTAGCCATAACTGCTGTGGCCGCTGCCACTGCTATTGGATAGAAAATGGTCTTATATTAAAGTGATAAGTAGATGACAAAATTACTAGATAAATAGATGATCAAATAATAAACTGTCCTAAAATAAATTATAGTTATTTATTAACTGACCTGACACGTATTCTGGTCATTGCCAACGGCACAGAACATTCTTGAAGTAAGAGGCTGAGAATAGACATTTTCACATATGTTGGTCGGAACGACAGATAAGGTCACTGCCTGAAAAATCCATTGAATAAATATAAATACCAATATTAATACATATACAGGGTGGTCCGAACTGTATTCCGGAAACTTCGACCGCATATTCTACAGATAAAAATAAGTAAAAAAATTCATACAAATGTAGGTATGTCCTAAAATGCTTAGTTTTGGAGATACAGGGTGTAAAAGTTTCATTTTTATATCGATTTTTTGCAAATATTTTCTGAATAACTTCTACACCCTGTATCTCCGAAACTAAGCATTTTCGGACATACATTTATACCAACTTTTTTACTTAATTTTATCTGCAGAATATGCTGCCGAAGTTTCCGGAATACAGTTCGGACCACCCTGTATAATATCAATACATAATTTAAAAATTATCAACTAAATATATCTGAAAACTTAAAATACAATGTTCAAAGACACATCAATAGCAAAATTAGAATTGGCATGTTCACAAAATAATGATAAATTCTCAACCAATTATATGACAATTTCATTTTCTATTTATTTTCAAAAATGTTTCTAAAAATATAATTCGTAAGTTAACAGTCAAGTTTTGAAAATGAAATGTTCCAGTATATCTATATAACACCCAAAAATTTCCTGATAATTCAAATTATCTTAAATAATAATTTGAGATTTAAAAACGACAATATCGTAGAGAAAACACTATTGTGCAAACATTGTCGATCTTTGTTTCGTACATGTTCCATGTTGATATTGCCTCCTATTAGATACCAAGTTGACCATAATATGTTGTGTAAATAAATGCCTTTTTATAAATGATTTGTCTTCTCAAAATAATTTTATTATTATACAGGGTTTTTCAAAAAACATTTGCCATCTCTCTTGGATATCGCTTCAAGCAGCTGTTAAGAACTGTTTGGCAGAATGGTCACAGTTTGGTCTCCTGTGTTATATGTTCTTATATTCTTTAGTCATTGGTTTCTCTATCCAGATTTTCGGAATATGAATTGAATAATGCCAGTGAGAATATGCATCCCTGGCTAACGAGGTATAAGGATATACTTATACAGGGTGTTTCAAACAACATGTGCCATCTCTCATCTCTCGTGGAGAGATTCCTCACGTAAAAATAAGATTTAAATTTCATATCAACATAGGTCCGATTCTGCTTTGTCTCGCAGCTGCTACAGGGTGTTAAAGTCTTAATAATATTTTCATTTATTATAATTCTCTTCCAAGTACTTTTAGTGATTCGAAGGAAATTTTGAGGGTAAAAGATATTATAAGTGCATATATTTTAATGCTAAAAATGTGGAGATACATTCATCAGGAACGTGCATATGGGTTATCACTGGAATCTTTAAAAAAAAACATGTGTGCCACTGAATTTTTTTCTTTTGATATTAAAATTGTGTAGGCCGTTTAATGCCAATTATTATTTAATGCCAATGAGTACTTCTTTAAAACTTTCGCAAGTTAATGGTACTATTTTTTTAAAGGTTGCTAGTAGACTTGGATCAAGGCAAATTAATAAAATTGCGTTTATCTCATCAAGGAGGCCGAAATCAACAAAATATCAAGAGACAAGTTTTAATCGGCATTAAACTGCTTACACTATTTCGCTAACAAGATAAAAAAAAGTCAGTGGCGTACATGCTATTTTTAGAAAAATATTCCAGTGATAACCCATATGCACGTCCCTGGTTAATATGTCAACACTTTTTTGGTTTTAAAATATGTCGCATTTATAGTAACTTTTACCCTCAAAATTTCAATAGAAACGCTAAAAGTACTTGGAAGAAAATTATAATAAATCGAAGAAATATTAAGACTTAACCCTGTAGCTACGAAACGAAGCAGGATCGGACTTATGTTGATATGAAAAATAAATCTTATTTTTACATGAGGAATCTCCCACGAGAGATGGCACATGTGTTTTGAAACTTCCTGTATACAGTATAAGAATATACTTATATACTTACTTGGTATATCCTTATTCGAGGTATAAGGATATAGGTATAAGGATATACTTATATACTTACTTGTAATTGATCAGATTGATGCAGGCTACAAAATGTTTTATATCCCCAACCAGCAATAATAACAGTCTGACCATTGATTATTTTATTTGCTTTTGTTGGTAGTTTGATAGGTGCAACAGTTGGTCCATATGTCTTTAAAGAAGCAATAAAATAAATATAAAAAATAAGTTTTTTTGCAAGTTTTTGCAGTAAATCGACGGTATATTTATATGGTATGTATATATTTATACGGTATGGTTATATGTATACTTATAACAGTCCCCTACTATACATGATTTAAAATTTTGGAAAACAAACATTACTAGATTAATTACAATTATTAATGCCATTTAATAAATCATTTAGTAATTAAGTTATCGTTATACATTACTATTCAAAGATAATATACTAAAAGATTTATATAAACTAGAATACAGGATCCAGCAATAGTGCGTCGGGCACGAGGTCGGGCATCTATATGACAGCTATGTCGTATAGCTCCTAGAATAAAAAAATATGGGATTTTTTTTAAGTACAAACCTAAAATATGTACGAGAATGTATTTCATGAAAATATATTAAGTTCTATAGGGTGGCTCAAAAAAGTGTTAGTGGATGCATATTATTGCATTTTTGGCTTCATTTTAGATCACTTTACATAATCCTAAGATATGAGTAAATATATTTTGATGGTTTCAGAGATATTAATAAATAAATAAAAAATATATATTTTTCAGCCTTTCTTAAAAAAATAAAAATACAAGAACTGTCCTGAAATCCAAACAACACCAAATATTTAGTTTAGATGGTCTGTACTGACTTTGCTATAAATATGTTAATCGTAAATCATACAGCATCTTCAAAATTCTACGCCAAATTTTCTGAAATATAAAATAATTTTTCTTCGGTTTTCTTTAAGTGGAACACCCTGTATATTATTTCTTCAATAGATGGAGAATTAAGAAATAAACATTTTTTTGTATTAAGAATATCTCAAAATTTGGTTTCGCAGATTTTTGCGGTTTTATATTTTATATGGCATTTTTCACATTAAATTTTTAACAAAGCCACCCAGCAATAATTTTTCTCTCGTATTTTACCGTTGAAAGCGCCATATGAAATAATACTGCGTGTATCTGCAAAACTATTAAACATTTTGAAATACTTTAAATACAAAAAACGTTCATTTTTTAATTTTTCTCCGTCTATTGAAAAAATAATAAAATAATAATTTTTAGTTCCATTAAAAAATAAAGAAAAATTATTTTATATTTTAGAAAGTCTGGCGTAAAATTTTGAACATCCTGTATGATTTCAGATTACGATATTTACAGCAAAGTAAGTATAGACCATCTAAAGTAAATACCTAATATAGTTTTGATTTCAGGACAGTTCTTGTATTTGTAATAAATTTTTTAAAGAAGGTTAAAAAATATATATTTTTTATTTATTTATTAATATCTCTGAAAATCGAAAAAAATTTACACCGAGATTTACTCATATCTTAGAACTATATGTAAAGTCATCTGAAAGGAAGCCAAAAATGCATTAATATACAGGGTGTTCCATTTAAAAAAAAGTTATCCCGATCCACTCACACTTTTTTGATCCACCCTATAGGAGTTAAAATATTTTAATGAAATGAATCCTTGTACATACTTTAGGTTTACACTTAAATAAAATCTTAAGGTTATGTAAAGTGATCTGAAAGGAAGCCAAAAATGCAATAATATACAGGGTGTTCTATTTAAACAAACATCATCCCGATCTACTTAAACATTTTTTAGTCACCCTATAAATATTTTTCTGAAATACATCGTAGTACATACTTTAGGTTTACACTTAAACAAAATTTTCAAGTTTTTTTTTATTCTAGGAGCTACAGATGCCCGACGCACTATTGCCGGACCCTGCATAATATGCGACAATGATCTAAAAAAATTATAAAAAATACTCACCAAATTATTTGACAGTTTTAAAACGGCTACATCATAATCATTATTACAAGGATCGAAGTTGGGATGTAAAGTTAATTGGGCTACATTATAAATTTGTTCTCCTTTTGTTCTATAAGATGATCCAATTCTAACTGTGACTGATTCTTTAGAGATGGATATCCATAAACGTTTACGACAATCGACATTCCGATTATCAGAGCTGCAACAAGTCAGTTTTAAAAAGACTTAATAGTCATTTCTAAAATCAAAATGATTTAAGTGTTAAGTCAAATTCAACATAAAGTTCAAATTATTTAAGTCTTAAGTCTTTGACTTATTAAGTCATTTTATTTCAAGTCAAGTCATTTTTGTAAAGACTTAAATAAACATTTCGTTTTTTAAGTCGTTTTTGTAACTTAAGTCTATATTTTTGACCTAAATCCGAGCCTAAATCATGATGATCTGCAAGTTAAGTCAGTAAAATGACTTAAATCAATATAATTACCCTCAAGTCAAGACAACCAGAATTCAATTTAAGTACATTTTTTAGGGTTCCGTACCCAAAGGCTAAAAACGGGAACCCTATTACTAAGACTTTGCTGTCCGTCCGTCCGTCCGTCTGTCACAAAGGTATATCTTATGAACCCTTATAGCTAGACAGTTGAAATTTTTACAGATAATGTATCTATGTCCGCTATAAGAACAAATACTAAAAACAGAATTAAACAAATGTTTATAAATAAAAAAGTACTTTCACTAGCGTTCAAATCCTTTCCTCTTAGGCCTATCAAAAATAAGCATAATAAACCTTGGACTACTAAAGGTCTACGCATCTGCTAAAAACATGCGTTCATTATCTCACTTAAAAAAATTCTCAGACAGTGTCTTCTTCCACAATTACGTAAAACTATACAGAAAAATTTATCATAAGGCTATAAGAGCCGCTAAGGACCTTTATTATAATAGAAGAATAGTCAATTCTGGTAATGTTGCTAAAGAAACATGGTCTATTGTGAATGATTTGAGATACAAAGCTTTTCTTCGTCTAGCAATATCTCTACCTTACCTGAGAACCTTAACGATTAATTTGTAAATGTAGCGAAAAACTTAACTAATACCATAATATGTCCTTCTCATGATCCACTCATATCTCTCTAATGATAATGTAAACTAATGTAGTTTTAGAAGAGCTTCGCAGTACAATTAATACCATCAAAAATAAATCCTCATCTGGGACCGACGGGCTAACTTTAAAAATGTTTTTGAATCTCCCAGAAAGCACTCTGAATCACCTAACTACTTTAATAAACATGTCATTCCAAAATGGTATTTTTCCAATATATCTTAATACGGCAATAATCATTCCTCTGCATAAAGGAGGAGACAAAGATGAAGCTTCTAACTATCGCTCAATTGCACTCCTTCCAACGCTATCTAAGATCATAGAAAGGTTGGTTAAAGGAAGGCTGGTATCTTTTCTGTTTATGTACAAAATACTTACTGAACATCAATTTGGATTTCTAAGCAACAAGTCCACAAATGACGCTATGTTTTCCCTCCTTAATAAAGTTTACTCCAGCCTAAATAACCATTATTCTACAGCAACAATTTTCTGTGATTTTTCTAAGCCGTTCTACTGTGTAAATCATAAGATCCTAATTAATAAACTGCAGCACTATGGGTTCAGGGGAACATCTCTCGAATGGTTTAAGTCGTATCTGAGCAACAGAAGTCAACTTGTGTGTCCAAACCACGTTGTCTTCTAGCAAGCCAATAGAATGTAGAGTACCACAAGGCTCAGTACTAGCCTTGTGGTACCTGCCTAACATAAACATCAGTGGCAAAATATGTCTTTTTGCGGACGACACTAGCTTCACTTGGAGCAACAAGGACGTCACGGCACTTCATGGGATTATATCAAATGACTTAATCACCATTAAATCTTGGTACGATTCGAACCTCCTGAGTCTCAACATTTCTAAAACTAAAGCTTTGTCGTTTAAAAATTCGTTAAAACACCACCATTGACGTCGTAAAATCTGTAAAATTCTTAGGGCTTGTTGTAGACAATTGTCTGAAATGGGACATGCATATCGAAGCTGTGTCGAAAAAAATGAGCTCTGCCTGTTTTGCATTAAGATCTGTTTCTAAAGAGCTTAACTTGTCAGTGGCTAGAACTGTTTATTATGCACTTTTTGAGTCGCACCTCAGGTATGCCCTTCCATTCTGGGGTACGTGTTGTGCGACTCAATTTGACCGCATTTTCAAGCTTCAGAAGAGAGCTGTTCGATGTTCACTGGAACTAAACAGCAGAACTCATTGCCAGGACTTCTTTAAAAAATTAAAAATATTAACTCTTCCTTCGTTATTTATATTTGAATCCGTTTGCCTAATACGTAAGCATATATCAGCTTCTCAAGAAAGGCCATCTCACACTTATCTACTCAGAAACGCGGAGCAAGATCTTTATCTACCTACCCCACGCTCAGAGTTAGTTAAAAGTTCAATATTATACAACTCGAAAAAAATGCACAATCACCTGCCATTTGAAATCAAATCCAGAACATCATTTTCTTCATTTCGCAAAGCATTGAACTCTTATTTACTAGACAAGGCTTTCTATGCCGTAAATGAATTATATTTTGATAATCGAATTTGATCTTGTAAACACTGGTCTAATGTTTGCTATTGCTATATTTACCAATGACACCGAAATAAATTTATCATTGGTCATTGATATTTACTATAAACTAACTAAATATTTTTGAATATTATTTTTATTTTTTTTATTCTTTGACATTGTAAACATTTATAAATGTTTATTTTAAACAATAAGACTGACAATATTATTTGTATAATGTTTTGTATTCTCTTTTATTTGTTTGTTTGTTTACTTTACCTTTGTCTACAAATTGTAAAATTTTTTGACAATAAAGGCATTTATATAGTGTCTAATGTTGTATAGATAATGAATGGTACGGAATCCTTCGTGCGCGAGTCCGACTCGCACTTGGCCAATTTTTTTTATTTAAATGTTAATATTCATTTTCTTGTATTACCAATTAGCGATTTTCTTACTAAGTTTCATATATTATTATTAATTTATTGTAGATACAAATTAGACCACTAGAGAGAAATAAAACCACAGAAAATAAAACGGTTAATTCTAAGAACCCCTACAAACACAAAAATATATTTTTAGCTGACTATACCAACAGGTATGGTAGGCTATTATGCTATTAAGATCGGCAAAACAAAAGTTTTTTTAATTTCAAAATGAGTTATTTGGGTCATAAATGACCTAAATACAAAATATTTTCGTGGTGTCTGTCTGTCTGTTTGTCTGTCTGCCGTCTGTAACACGATAACTCAAAAACCGCTAAACCGATTTTAACCAAATTTGGCACAAAAATACTGGGACACCCGAGAATCTGGCCATTAGTTTTTGGTGGGGGTATGGGAGGGGGTTAAAAATTTTAAAAAATCGTAACTCCAAAATTACAGTAGCTAGCGAAACGCGGTTTTCAATTTAAGATTAGGAATAATATTGGCAACAAAATTTGTAATAACATCAAAATCAGTCAAAGTCGCAGTTTTTGAGATAAAAAAGTTGGAAAACCCTCAAAAAGGAAATACCACTCCTGCAACTCCCAGTGGACGATATGCCAAGAACGTACAACTTTGAGAAACATCTCAATGTAGTATTGAGCAATAAAAAGGATTGGAAGAGAGAAACGTCTGCCCAGCAGTTAAAAGACCATACCATAACTTGGTATACTGATGCTTCCAAAACGAATACGGGAACAGCGATCGGAGTGTTTGGGTCGAGAACTAAATACTCCGAACCAATGGGTACTTACCCTAGCACCCTACAGACAGAAATCTACGCTATCGAAAGATGCGTACAACTTATCTTACATAGGAACTATCGGAAACAAGAAATAGCCATCTTATCTGATAGTCCAGCAGCGTTAAAAGCGATCAACTCAGTATCAATCAATTCCAAATTGGTCAAAGAATGCATAGAGAAGCTGAATAAATTAGGCAAAGAAAACAAAGTCCTTCTACTCTGGGTGCCTGCTCACCCAGGGATAGAAGGCAATGAAAAAGCACATGATCTAGCTAGAAAAGGAGCGAACACTCCACTAACTGGACCAAAACCGTTCTGCTTTCCAAGTCGTAACCAACTCAAGGCGGAACTCAAGAACTTGGAAGATTCCATCCGCAACCTGGAATGGGAATCGTGCAACGGTCTAAGACACTCGAAGAAGTTTCTGAGGGCTTATGATCAAGAAAAATCACAGACCTTCCTGGGTTTAAGTAAGAACAATCTTCGGATTGTCACGGGGTTTTTAACAGGACACTGTCTCCTCAATGAACACCTCAGTAGATTGAAACTGAGAAGAAACGGCGAATGCAGATTCTGTGGGGAAAATGGGGAAACACCAGTACACCTCATCACTGAGTGCGCCGAAACGACAACCATTCGTGCCATGAATTTTGGTACGACTGATATTGGAGATGGAGAACTACCCTCTATAAAACCGTCTCAGATACTGGCTTTTGTCAAAGCCCTGCGACTGTATGATGAGTTATAACTCAAGAAAGGGGGACACAATAGATCTATAAGGTCGCAGTGATTAACCCCCCTCCCACTCATTCTAAATTCTAAATTCTAATCTATTAAAAAGTGATAATGTGGCTTTGATCACTATACTGAAATCAAGCTAAGGGCTGGAGGGCATAAATTTCTTTCGTTCGTCTTTCGGGCTACATAACGAAGTCGAGGATTCACTTGAAATTTAACAGACCCACTGCGCACGCATAACACGACAAATAATCAAAACCGGTTCCAAAAAACTAACATTTTATTTACTACTGGTATTGAGCATTGTTTTTTTATGTTGCTGCTTGGCTGCCGCCCAACAGTTTAAAAAGAAATGCTGCTATTCTAAAAAGACTTAAAGAAAAGACTTAAATCTTTTTCTATTTCGGAATAAGGATTTAAATCACAAATCATTTTCAAAGAAACTTAAATTTTAAGTCTTATTAAATCAGCTTTCGAAAAATGACTTAAGTCATTAAAATGATTTAAATAAAAAAAAGGCATAAGTTTTCTGTGAGCTTGCAACTCTGCCGATTATAAAGTATTTTTTCAAATACGTTTTAATGAAGTTTTGTAACTAAAATATTTCAAAGACAAAACTTACATTGTTTTACTCATAAAACAGTGGGCAGCTGTTAATACGAAAGCATTATTTAGAATAGATCCACCACATAATTGAGTCCCATTTAGAAGTATTTGTACTTGATAGGGGTAATTTGCAACATCGGCATCTACTCCACCAATAGCCCGTTTTACACCATACTCCACAGCATCTGTATCTATTTCGTTGAACAACAAATTTTGTTTGGAATATATTTAAATCAATTTATAAAGACAATTCTTTTAAACGTAGTTTAAAACTTTATAAAAATATAATTACAGATATTAAGAGCTCAAATGCACTGACGCCCAGTCGCAGTCGCAGCGACCAGCCAACGGCCAGATAAATCAATCATTTGATTTAATGCTTTTTTGATATTGAAGCTGCGACCGCTTGATTTATTTTTTTACCATTTGACTTAATTGCCTGACCGTTGGCTAGTCGCTGCGACCGGTAGTGCGTTTGAGCTCTAATTGATTTAGCTAAATTACAATTTAAAACATCATGAAGATATTTTGAGACATTTTAAATAATGAAAGATAATAATAATTGTGTTCTTACCATGTATATAAATAGAGTATGCTAGAATTAAGAAAATCGCTCGTTTAGTTACTATTGGTAGCATTTTGATGTAACAAAAACTGTAGAATTGATTTAGTTTTACATTATCTATTTATACTGCATGCTGCACGACTACAATATTTTTTTAATGTTTTTTTCGTTCTGACTTTTTATTTTTATTTTATCATCTATCGTGCATTATTGTTCATGACTATTTTTTATGGCGTTGATCGTTTATTTGTAACACTGTCTATAGGCAAAATTATGTCACTAGTAAAGAGCAAACACTACTTAATAATACAATTATTATAAATATTTTATGTGCATTTATTATATTAATTTTGTAATATAATTTAAACCTACATATAAAAGAACAGGGACGTTTATTGATTAATTACGTCGTTAATAAAAGACAAAAATTCGGTAACTTTAACGTATACACCGGGTAAACTCGCATCCCCACATCTACCACCCCAGGACACGATTCCAAATTGTACGCCATTTGACACAAGAGGGCCACCCGAATCTCCCTAAAAAAGAAAATTCAAAATTACTTGACTAAAATCTGTCCAAAGAGTCGACAAAGGACATAAAAAGATACAAAAAATCTATTTCACTTTTATTTATTTATTAATGATTGGTACGTAAAATGACTTCCCGAGGAAACATTAGTATAGTTTTTCCGAAGTCAATTGGAATAGATTACGATTAGGTCTCTTAATTTCGGCACTGTCTTTGTTGGCGCTATTGTCAGCATCGTCGCGACAGACGAATTAAGAACCCCTCTACTTCCAGTTGACTTCGTATACTATATACTATACAAATGATGAAAAAATAGCACCAGAGCGCTGAAAAAGCAAGGTTTCTGTCCTCGCATGTATTAATTCTATTGGAGAACATAACCTTAAACCCCTAGTATTAGTCAAAGCGAAAAACACAAGGTGTTTCAAAAATTTTGCTATTCATGTCGATTACCATTTTTCGAAAAATGCGTGGATGGCTGCGGCAATTAGTGAGAATGATGGTGAGACAGTGATGATGAATTAAAAAAGTAATAAAAATAATGATAAGATGGAAGTTAGTTCAGCAGAAGCAGTGCAAGCATTTAATAAGGCTATTTTTTGGAGTGAAAAAGAATATTGTTAATACTGATGATCTATTGGTGTTGCGAAAATGCAGGGATAAGGTTTTGCAGAAAAGCTTAGATAACTAAGCTACCTAAAAAAAGTGCAGAAACAAATTACACAATATTTTGATATTACTATAAATGTTGAGTTTTATTATTTTTAAAATATATATTAGATTATACCGGTTGCGTCTCAAAAGTGGCTCACCCCCTATAACTTTTTTATTTTTTCAGATAAAAAAACGAGATTTGGTATGTTCAATATGGTATGTACGTATTCAATTGTTTTTAGTCACTTTCTGTTTTACCGGCAATTACTATAATTTTGACTTTAATATTATTATTTAATTTTTTATTATTGGAATTTTGATTTTTAAATGGCACCCTTTAGTCATTTCCGGTGAAACAGGAAGTGACCGAAAACAATTGAATACGTCAATCAATCTTAATTTATGTCATATACTAACATACCAAATCTCGTTTTTTTTACTGAAAAAATAAAAAAGTTATAGGGGTGAGCCACTTTTAAGCACCACCCGGTATAGTATGAACAATTCCATTTTATACACACGCCTGGTTTTTATTAGTTCACAACTGAGTGTCTACTGTATTTGTAATGTATTAGGGTACGTTTATGTTGGAGCTGCGATAAACGATAAAAGCAGTGAATTAGCGCTGCTCTTATCGTTGCTCAACTGTTGCTCAAGCGTGTCTCGACGCGTTGCTCCAATATAAATACCTACATATAAATTAATATAATAATATTCTTTGTTTCGCTACTATCGCTGCTCTTATTGTTTATCGCCGCTAGACACATTTAGGTACCATTTTTGTACCCTTAGCTAGACACATTTTAGTGGTAGGTACTCTACTTACAGTGCAAGAGTCTTTTCCTGCTTCACCAGCGCAAATCATATTTGCTGTAATTTGCGTACCATATCCGGTTTGTTGGCAAGATTCAGTAGTAATTAAAGGCACAGATACAACCTATAATAGAGAGTTAAAAGGGCAAGATTAAATTTAAACCTAAGTTTCTCCCCTACTTCTATTTCCTAGTACCTGTAATTGAGTTGCTAATGGTCCACCATTCGCAATATATCCCCAGCCTGTAGCATTTGACGACTGACCATCTACGAATGTTGAAGTATTGGAAGGAAGAACAACAGGAGCTACACCAGGACCAAACGTCTGTAAAGATGAGTAAAGTATATTATATATAGTAAATAGAAAGCCAACAGCTAAAACATTTATATTAAGATGGTTATACATATATAGGTTCTTATTTTTATAATGGAAATTATTATAATGGAAAAGCAGCAGGGAACGACGGAATAACAGCTGAAATACTTAAGACATACCTATACCGCAAGATTGGAATAGCGCCAACATAATTCTAATTCGTAAGAAAGGCAGCAAACAAAACACGCTAGATGCTGCACAATCACAAGAACAAACTGGTTTTAGAAGCGGCTTCAGCACGATTGATCACATAGGTACATACACATAGAGACACTATCAGCCGAACAAATAAATATGAACTTCCACTAGCTATAGCCTTTATAGACTTTGAGAAGGCTTTCAACTCGATATATCCTAAGGCAATAATAGAAGCCCTAGCGAAACAAGGTATTGACAGGCTTTATATAGAAGCTCTCGCTAATATATACTTCCAAGAAAAGGAAGGAAATATAAAACAACCCCAGAGTTTCCAACTGGCAAAGGAATACGACCGGTAGTATACGCGGTAGTTGAAATGAAGCAGTCAACATCGGAAGATATACAAATCAGACGGGGTGTTCGGCAGGGTTGCGTCTTGTCTCCGCTCCTGTTTAACCTGTACTCGGAGACTATATTTAGAGACACTGGATCGAATCCAGGGCGGAATCAAGTTCAATGGAATCCCAATAAACAATATCAGATATGCCGATGATACGGTTATAATAGCCAACGATATACAAGAACTGCAAAGCATTATAGATTCCGTAGTCTACTATAGTGAGATGTTTGGACTGCATCTCAATGTCTCCAAGACCAAACTATTGGTCTTTTCTAAGACTCCAATAAATGCACACCTGCGTGTCAAGGGACAAACAATCGAACAAGTGATCTCAATAAAGTATTTAGGAGCTAACATTAATAGTCAGTGCGACCCAAGAAGAGAAATATTTTCAAGAATTGAGCAAGCGAGAAAAATCTTCGTGAGAATGAAATCATTTTTACAAGAAGAGACCTCAGTGCGGATCTCAGAACTCGAATGGCCAGATGCTACGTCTTCTCTGTGTTACTCTATGGATGTGAGAGCTGGACACTGGATTCACAGACCGAGAAGAGAATAGAAGCCTTCGAAATGTATATATACAGACGGATGCTGCGAATCTCATCGGTACAAAGGATCACCAACATTGAAGTACTCCAGCGCATGCAGAAACAAAAAGAGATACTAAACACCATCAAGGAAAGAAAAATGCAATACCTGGGTCATGTGATGAGAGGTGGTAGATACGAAATACTGCGCCTCATAATAGAGGGCAAAGTGCAAGGGAAAAGATCAGTAGGAAGACGCCAGAACTCATGGCTAAAAGATTTGAGGAGATGGTTTGAACGCTCGTCTGCGGAAATCTTCCGGGCTGCAGTTTCCAGAGCCACAATTGCCATTTGGATCGCCAACCTTCGGCAGGAGAGGGCGTGATAAGAAAGAAGAAAGGAATACGACAGGAAGGCACAACAGCCCCAAAACTATTTACAGCAACACTAGAGGAAATCTTCCGACAACTAGACTGGACCAACAAGGGATTAAAAATAGATGGAGAATATCTTAATCATCTAAGATTTGCTGATGACATAGTCCTAATTGCCAATAGTCCTGAACTACAAACACAAATGAACGAACTGAATACAGCCAGCAATAAAGTAGGTCTCAAAATAAATTTAGCAAAAACTAATATAATGTACAATGAACTAGTAGACAGAAAAGACATTTTAGTAAATAACACAAAACTGGTAAAAAAATATTAGGGACAACTAATACACAGCTCGGGATCTCTACTACCAGAAATCAACAGAAAAATTAAGTTAGCATGGAGTACTTATGGAAGAAACTGAATCATATTCAAATCTAGAATGCCACTTTATCTAAAGAAGAAAACATTCGACCAATGTGTACTACCAGTCATGATATACGCATACGAAACCTGGATCTTTAAAACGGACATTATAAGAAAACTGCAGGTTGCACAACGCTCAATGGAACGAAATATGCTGGGAATAACCAAGAAAGGCAGTAAAAGAATAGAGTGGATACGATAAAAGACCCAGATAATAGATGTCATCCACATGATCAAATCCCTCAAGTGGCAATGGGCAGGACGCCTTGGCAAGAAGGACAGACACAAAAGTTACAACATGGTACCCACGAGGAATTAAGAGACCTAGAGGAACACCGAACCTGAGATGGGACCATAATATTAGGAAATTAGCAGGGATAACTTGGACCCGTCTAACCAACAACAGACAACAATGGGTCCAACTACAAAGAGAGTATTTAAATATGTGAGGGAGGCTACACCGTATTTGAAAATGGTTGAATAAGCTGGGAATGATGATGATGATGTACTGGTCATAAAGTAGTGTGCTATCATAAACCTTATTGTTATTAAAACTTTAATTATTTATTAATATATCTGCAAGAAATACTTACAAGATTGTCTGCTAATTCAACTATAGCTACGTCACTGTCGATTGTAAATGGATCATAATTAGGAGGAGAGATTATTGTCTTGGCTTGCAATATTTGACCACCACTTGTACTGTTAGACGATCCTGCCCTCACTGTAACCTGGCTAGCAACTCTAAATTGTATTAACAATAATTATTTATATATATTCAAGAGCCATAATAATAATAATGTATTATTTTATTTGCAGGATATCGCCTATCCAGTATAAAATAACTTCTATTATTAAGACATGTTACAAAACAGG